TAACACCTTCTGCTTTGTATTTTAAAAATGAATAGAAATGTAAAGTCTATACATTACAGTCTGATCATGATATTATTATGCTCGTGCTTACAATTTTTTTTTTGTTGTTGTTAAATTATATCGATCTGGAAACGAATACCTAAAAATGTGAATATGGGCTCTCGTGTTGCACCAGCGGTCATTGGGAAACTGGTGTCTCTTCACCAATGAAAGGAGTACACAAGCAATACATTTTCGAGAACATAGTTAAAAATAACAAAATAAGAAAACACCTAACCCAATTAACTAACATAGTAACTCCTCCTGAACTTTTTAGTTCGGGCAAAAAAAATAAATTGTAATGTATCGAAGCATTATGTCTAAAGAGGAGTCAGAGTATTTTTTTTCATAATTATGTCTCGTACAAGTCATGACACTTAGCACATTTATGCTGATGTGAATCAAATAATAATTGTCTATGAAAAATGATGCCATTCTACAAGGTCTTGAGTTGAATTATGTAAGGCTGGGTTCATCATTTCAGTTATGCCTGGAATTAAATAACAAGGACAGCAATTTCTTCTTCAAATACCAGTGCTTGTACACACTCATTCTGTACACTTAATACACTGAATGAGAAAAGCTTGTGAACTAAAAGTTATTCCGGCACGTTCTTACACCTCTCAACAGGAAGTTAAAGGAATCAGCCTTACACTAGGCCCGGTTCAAGATGAAAAGAGAAAGATTAGAGCACGTGACAGAGTGATGGTAACTTCCACAGAGAGCGACAAATGAGAGCGATTGAGGAAATAGCCGTGCTGTTTCTTGAGTGTTGTTTTCGATCAACTGTCTCTTCCTGTGACAGAGGAAATCAAACCCTTTATCAGAAGCATGTCATCACATCAGGTTTGAACAATAAATACACATTACTGGAGCCTGTGGGGTAGAAAAGGAATAAACACATCCTATTAAAAGTGAAAGAATTTCAAATGCTGCTGTCAGTGCTACAGACTCAAGGACTGTACATTCTTGTGAAACGCATTAAAACTAATTACCGTTTAAAGAGGTCATGCACAATTAATATGGCTTAACACAATAAGTACAATATCTTCCTGTCCCTTCAGTGTATATCAGAGTCTACTAAAGCGGAAGAAAGCCCATACACAGAAATGATCTCATTATTATTTATTTGGCATTTTTTAAGGATTTTAATGTTTCAATTGTATGATTGGAAAAACAAACTACACATTCTGTTTGTTAAAGGCGCACAAGAACAATTATCTGTGGACAAACCCCTAAAACAATCAGCAGAGGTACAGTATGGCACAGGCAAAGAAAACAAAATATTGGCAACGCTAACCATAATAAATCTGAATCAGAACAGACAGTAGAGTCATTATGTGCCACTCTGACCAGCAGACTATATAGAGTTTAAGTAACATAAAAATCACATTTCTCATTGATGGTACAATTAAACACAGTTTAAAGTGTGTATGTTTCTTGTCACATGTCCTAGTAGCACAAAAGCTGTTTCAAAGAGTTGTTACTGTAGAGTTTATACAGTATGTAATATAATACAGTTTCTAAAGCTTGCACAGGTTCACATATATTTAGTTTGTACATCTATTTGTGTGGCAGATTAAACTGAAAGTAAAATGAAGTCATATGGGCAGATAACATCCAGATTTGCACTACAGCTAATGGGGATTTAATTAATTTTCACAAACCTTGCATGACATTTAAATTTTTAAGCACAGCAAAGAAATTTGTAATAGCACACATAATGATTTCAGATTTAACAAACACATTCGTGGTATATATTTTTTATAAAAAAAGTGTTATTTCCTACGTCACATAGTACAGCATTTCTTAACGTTATAAGAAAAAATGGAAAGTACTATATATTGTAATTTGTATAGTGAAATGTTTTTCCATCCTGCTAAAATAATGACACAGCATCTGTCATGTGTAAACTTTAGGCACAATGAGATTCAATCTCATTCAGAACAATCTCAGATCCTGCTATAAAAATAATCACTCAGTTTACTGTAAACTGTTCCACATTTCCAGGAAAGGAAAACAACAGTATATATATATATGTGTGTAATGCTACACATATAAGATAAAACAGGCATTTTTGAAACACTGAAGTGCATCTAAACTAAGTTACATTTTAATTTATATTATTTTTCATTCACAACAAATGGTGCAAATTACATACTCTATCCACTGCAACATGTATCAAGATTTAAATACAGATTTAGTGGTGTACATCACACAGTGTAAGTACATTAAACACTGACCCAGGAGAATATAAAAAGCGTTTCCATATTTGCATTTATGCAATTCTATTATTTGCAGTTGTGTAAACACTGAACTTATTCTTACTGTTAGCACAAGCTCAGAAGGGAATGTTGTCACATTAACGTTAATGCCTGATTTAAGCTCGTCAGGCAAGACTGGAAATATTTACAAACCTGACAAAGCCTGATATTTGTTTGTCCTGTTTCTTACCCAATCCCTTCATTCAAGTTCAATTATTCATGTACAGTTAACTTACTAGTGCAACTTTTTTTTTAAATCCTTCTGAATTGAAGGACCTAGACTTCTTAAAACAAAACAAATCAACGTAGCTGTAGTTTGGAAAGTAAATTCACCAAAACGGAACTGGTATTAAACGGGACTTCCATTTAAACAGACTGGCTCCAGTGGAATTTTGTTTCCATTTTCTGCTTAACAATTTAAAAAAATTAAAGGTGCAAATCTAGTCTGTGAATATTTTAACTATTTAAAAGTTTTTACATCAAACATATTTTATAAAACAAAAGCTATTTTGAATTTTGAAAAATTAACTGGAACAAGGCTTGGAAAACCACTCTGGTAATGCACTCAAAATAAGAGTGTAAATAAGTTCTCAGTTCTAAGCGTTCTTTACAATCCTTTGATTGCTTAATGTATTGCTTCATCTTTAATTGAGAGGGGCTTTTGTCTTGATATTTTGTTCATAACTGTTGTAATTATAAGATCTGTGGGTATTTTAAGAAACATGATAAGACTCTCACACACCAGGTGACTCATGTTTAGACAAAACCTTTGGTCCTATATACAGTCCAAGAGAAAAGGCACACACTTCTATCATTCAATTAGATCCAAGTATCAGAGTTACATTCAAAAACAGAGGAAAATCCAGAGACATTTCCTTTAACCTTTTTAGTGAATACACAGCTCCTGAAACCAAGAAATGTTTTGAGAAGAGATCTGTCTCCTTTCACCACAGTACTGTTTTTAATCTCTCATGCACATAAAATGCAAAAAACACACAAAATGGAACTAAAAAGTCCAAATGAGATACGGCCCATTTAAAGTGTATTGAATCTTCGCAAAATTGGATTTCAGTGACTTTACCAGAGTAACTGGATAATACAATGCCTGATCAGTTCATGTGTCAATTAAAAACACTGCATTCAAATCAAATTTGAAAAAGAAAATCACAAAGCACTAACATGGGCTGGTAAAATGGTGCTAATTGTATGATTTCCAAACAGTTCTGGCATAGGAAGGTTTGTTAAAAGAAGTGTGCATAACAGGGACAGAGAGTGTTCATTTCTCTCTGCTTCACCTGAAGGATTTTGCCTGGAAACAGTTCATCTACAAACTTTCAAGTGAAACCGGAATACAGCAGAACAATGATTGTTTTTTAAATTAGTCTCCATGGAGAGATCTCTCTTCCTCGACGACTGTCTGCGTCTTTCGTGAGCACTGTGAAGTTTCTAATGCGATGAAGGATCTCCGAGTGGAGGAGGGGTCATGCTTGCTGGGACACGTACAGTGCAGAGCTGGGCCGAGGGCGTGGTGCTCCACAAGAGCCAGCGTGGTGCGGTCCGTCACGCCTGTGCTCACCCTGCTACTGCCCATTGGTGTGGAGCTCTGTCCCCGTCTCAGCTCTGCTCCCATTCTGCTGGGTCGGCGACTGGCTGTCAGGTAACAGAACCTCCACCGAGAAGCTGATCTTCTTGGAATGGAACAGGCTGTAGGTGTTGTCGAACCGCAGCACATCTAAACAAGAGACACGCCAGGCAGTCAGAATCCATTGTTCTGCATCTGTTTTTGTTCTGGTTGATCACATTCATAAATAAAGAAAAACGACTTGAGCATAATTATCTGGCGAGTGCAGCTTAATCCCAGTGGAGTAGAAAGAGACAATAAATAAGTGAGACCCTACTAATGCAGTCCTGTCCTAAATGCTTATATATTTGACAGGGAGACCCTCACAAAGGAAAGTGCCATATCGCAGTACGGCAAGCTCTCAAATTCATCTCCTTCTGGGTACATGGAGGATGCGTGGTTATAAATGACTTTTCAGGCCCCATGTACTGCTGATTTAAATAGATGATGCATGGGAATGTGTAGAGAAAATTTCCACAATGTATAATGTTAGTTTTACTTTCTGTCTCAGATACTCACATGTCCCACAGGGACCCTTACATTCCATAAGTCGCTCTGGCAACCTTTGACCCCTCTGTGTCCCATTAATGCCTCCCAATCCATCACAATGTATTCCTCAGACTCATTGACCCTACGACTATATCTGCATGACTCCTTTCCAGCCTCTCCTTTGTTACCCCATGACCCCCCAAACTCACAAATTCATTTTGCCCTCTCTTCATACTTACAAACACCAGGGTCCAAACACGTGAGGGTGCCATCTTCAGGCACAAGGTGCGCATTGTACCGCTGGCTGGGCAGTACCTCCAGCATGTCTCCCGCCTTCTGCCTCTCGCCCACCTTCGTCTTGATGAAGACCCCAAAACCGATGTCGGCCCCTTCGCTGGAAAACTGCCACCTTCCCGGGGAAAGAGAGGGGGTGGATGAGTGAAACACTGAGGATTTCAACAGACTCATCGCACGTTCAAGAACCCAGGTCTGAGCGCAGCTCACCGACAGCACACTGTGGAATCGGAGCCCTTAATCTTGACCAACAGCTGCTGCTCCTGCAGCAACTGCTCTGGACATCATCATTGACCAGAGACCCTTATATAGCCCATTACAGCCCTTATATAGCGCCTGGCGGTACAAAACCTTAAGTATAAAATACAGACATTACCCCTCAACCTTGAACTATGGCACTGATGTCACTGTATGTAGCTGCTCTATGCAAATACTCTTGACTTTAAGGGTTTTGAGGTCAAAATTAAAGGAAAAATAAAGGTGTTTTATGCACCTTTGTCACTGGATTGTTATCTATTGAGTACAAATTTGTATGATCTGTAGTTTTGTAAAAGTATTTTGATGTCCTCTCATTAGAGGCATATTTGGCTGACAAGAAAATGAACCAACAAGACAATTCTGTTCAAATTTCACATGAATTAATTACAGCTTAGAGGACACATGTCCTGTTGATCTGGGGCCAGCTGGTAACCCTAACTCTTAGCCTGGGGTTACGAACCCTGGTCCATCTAGTTTTCATTCCTGCTGAGCTCACCGTTCCTCGGCTTGCTCACCAGAATTTCTGACTAATTAGCTCTTATTAGTTGATCAATTGATGTTGAACAAACTTGAGTGGGAATGGCACTGTATTAGCGACACCTATTGTGGGTGTGGCACTGCTTCAGCAACACCCACAGAGAGCATTTTCTCCTTCTGCAGAGGTGTAATTACTGTAGGTATAGGTCAGTCGGCACAACTGCGCAAGGGCAGTTCTGGAACTAAGAATTCAGTACAGGGTTGACAACAAATAAGAATCCCATCTGACCTTTGAAGAGCTGAAAGCAAATTTTCAGTTTTAAGTTTCAGGCATGTGTGTAATCGATTAACCTGCGATTAAGAACTGGGCAAAACCCAAAACACAGTGCTCCTCTGTTCCAGCAGGATCGGAGAGGGAAACCACTGCCCTAACTGGTGGAGCCTTGACTGGTCTGTCTTATTTCATCTGGATACTTTCCAGTCTTCGAGAAGCATGGACAATGCAGGCTCTGGAACAAATTTGTCATTTTCTGTTTACAAAAAGAGTAAACTTTCTACTGACTACTGTATCTGCACCACTTTTTTCTAAACAAGGATTATACTTCTGACACTGTGAGCCTAAGAACACAAGATATTTGCAGAGATACAAAACAACTTTATTGGTTTGTTACGTATCATTGCACTTAAATAGCATAGTGAGGAAGTGGTACATTCTTAAATGTGATCGTTTGGTTACTGTAAGCAAAGTAATTCCTATACTTAAAATGTATGAATAATTTTATCCTCCCATTTTTGATTACTATATGTGCTGATTTCTTATAAGCAGACTGCAGTGTACTAAAAAACTCTTGAGCATAAGTACTGTAACAAGTATTGTGTTTCAGGCAGTATAATTAGATAAGTAAGATGAATTCATGTTCTTGCTTATGAACTGGGGGATCTTAGTTTCTGGCGTTTTTCAGTTTTGGTCACTGTTATGTAATATCTGTGCTTTTTCAGGTAAACTTTGGACTTGGGTCAAAGTTTGAGTTAACACGGCATTAAGGCTGGGGTTGGGATAAGGGTGGATCTAGGGCCAGGGTTAGAATCTCAGCATTTATTTGCGAAACAAAGATAAATGGAATCCAGCCAACAGTATTTCTCATGTGTCCATAGTACTTAAAGATCTCAGTTTACTAAAGAGCGCAAAAAAAAACCACGACCCAGAGGCCACTCACCGCAGCACGCAGCCTGGGAAAAGAATTTCGCACTCCATCTGGTGCGAGGAGCCGCGGCTGACGGAGACGGTCTGGTCGTACTGCTGCTTCACCGAGTCCCGGACGTAGTAAGACCTGGGCACGTCCCCGCCGTACTTGATCTGAAACAAACACACACACGCTCAGTGAAGGCCCTGGGCACAGTTTCGTGCATCTAGGAAAGGAAAGAAGGAACGGAAAACGAGGAATAATCAAGCACGACTTACATTTGACTACAGGCTGTGGGGGGTCTCGTTGTCGCCTGGCAGGTCTTTCCAGCTTTAGCTAGGGGTCATTTTAGAGTGACCAATCATGTGGAAGCTTGCAATATAAACCAAATGTTTTGAGCACTGATGAAAAAGATTCCATTCCTGTTCCATTTAACAGATGTAAGAAAACCTCTATTAAGTTTTATTATAGCCTTTAAAAAAAGTTCTAAATTAGAAAAAGTTCTAATTTATCAAGGAATAAAAAAAAAACTTTTTAATTTCGAATCATATGGAGTCACACGGGTCAAATACTATAATGGACAGAAAGAAAATCACATTCAGCTTGGCCCACAGGCAGATCTACTTACAGTACTGTCCATTCCTCCAAGGCTGCAGAGCCAGGTGAGATGTTCTTTATTTTACTAGATTCTTACCTTTCCTCTGCCACTATAAGAAGAGCTAAGAGAGGAGTGAAGAAGAATTGAATGGATGGATCTTAACCCTCAAAGCAAACCATGTATTGCTGGATTTGTTGAGATACTGGTACTTCTGTGTCCTCCCCATTATGTCTCTGGGAGGCACTGCAAGGATATTGAGCTCCAGGGTCTCCTAGTTGAGATTCAATCCTTTTTCAGGCACCCGTGTGGCAATGTGACTGCTGAAAGTCTGTGTTCCTTATTTCGAACTAGCCAGACACTAGGCATTTTTCTATAACAGAGAATATATGTAATACTAATGGACAACCTAAAACTGTCTGTTCTTTTCATTTTAATTCATTGCTTGCATTTATATAATGCTTTTCACCCCCCGAAGGATCCCAAAGTTCTTCACATACAGGAGGAAACCCAATGTATTCAGCACGGACATATCGCACCTGCTTGGGCCACTCACAGCTGCCATTCTGCACCTCTGAATCTGCTACAAGTGAGAAACTCCATCACCAGCCCAATTAAGGGGAACTTTAGACAGGTCTGACTGTAAAAGCCCAGAGTGGAATTGAGCCAGGCCCGTAGAGTAACATCCCAATTGCTAAGAACAGTGCCCCGAGGTCTTTAATAACCAAGAAATCAGAACCTTATCAGTCTTATCTGAAAAGTCAAATACTTGAGCACCAGTTTCTGCTTCTTTAGACAATATGCAAACTATTCTAGAATGGTTTTATGCATCTGGAACAGAGCAGTTACACACCGTCATGAAGGAAAAGAAATGTATAGATGCTAAATTATCAACTTTTCCCATATACTGTATTGTTAGTTGCCTCTTTTTGAGCTTAACAAATTGAAAAATTGTATCTGGTACTGAAACAATGTGACAGATCGATAAGTAACAGAAAAATAAACTATATAGCGTTATATAGTCACGTAAATGGTTCATCAATTCATTATAATAGATTTAGAAACAAAGTGAAACATGTTTTCTCTATGCCCCACACACTCTGCTCGTCACTCAAGGGTTAAGTGAGCCTGGCGCAGGCTGTGTGATGGCACCTTTCTGCCATGGCAACCCTAACACCCGCTGAGCTCTGAAGCAATTCGACTCTCCAACTGCCTTTATACAGAAAAGAAATTCAGCTCTTTCCTCACAGTCCGTGTATTTAAAAATCTCATCACATAAACGGTTTCTTCTCCGCTATTGTGGCTTAAAACACTGGGTGGGCAAACAGGGTTTCCAGACTCTCTCTTAAAACACAGCTGACTCTGTTTCCCTTGTTGGATCCTAAAAATATTATTACCCCATTTGTTTTGACTTCTGTGCCAATGAGCACTCATCCACCCATCCATGAATGAACAGCATACCTCGTGAATCACCACCTTGTGTTTGAGATCTGAATCAGCTGGGCTGGTCAATGTGTGAACAGGAATTAAGTGACCAGAGCTGCTCTGTACACACAGGGTCACGCCAGATCCCATCTGGGAGTTATTCAAGAAAACTGACAAGTTCATTGACGACAGCGAAGGATTTTTTTATGTCTGCTAGTAGATCTCGACAGGAGGATGCAATAACAATGGGGCCACAGACGGGATATTTGACTGTGGAAATTGGGAGTGTGGAATAAATGAGCTTTTTGTGTGTGGAATGCAGGACTTGCACATGGAATTTGGTGAACATAAGGGAGTGCTTGTGCTTTGCTAGGGAGAAACCTAGATCAGGTAGACCAGTCAGGAAAGAAAGAGGGTACTTCCCCCTTATACTAGTGAAAATGTTAAGGCTGGTAAGCAGTGACAGCTGTCTAAGAAACGTCTTTCAGCCTTACAGTATGACTACAGTATGAGGGGGAGACTATCTCATAAAGCCTTAAAATACTGTCAAGATCTGAAGCAAAGTGTCTCACGAATTCCCAGAAAACAAAAAAGGCAGCAGTGCGGAATACTCCCTCATGACGTTTATTTTTACCATGAATATTTAAATTTTAGTGATCTTATTTTAGCTCTTGCAAATTCCACACATTGTGCTGAAAAGCCTTAGGCAATTTAGCACCCGACCAGAATAATAAATCATACCGGGCATGCAGACGGGCATAAGGTACTCATTGATTTCGTTCCTCAAGGAGAGAAGCTGAAGTGTGCAGACAGCCTAAATTCGTAAGCGCACACATCTTTCTGGAACTGTCAGAGTAAAAGCCTTCTGCTCAAATTTGTTTATACATAATTTACCTAATACTATATTTATAGTCTAATCCCTTATTTAAAGAATAATCAGACACATTGTGACAGAATTTTGAGAACATTGAACATAGAATCAGATAGAAAATAATATTACATATTAAAAGCTTG